TCCATGCCTGCCTCCCCCCCCCCTTCGCAGGGATTTCCTGGGATGCCTGGAGGTCAGAACTAGAAGCTGCCCACCATACCCACGTCTTCTAGAGCAGTGATGGCGAACCTTTTAGAGACCGAGTGCCCAAACTGTGACCCAAAACCCACTTATTTATCGCAAAGTGCCAACATGGCAATTGAACATGAATACTGAGGTTTTACTTTAGAAAGAACAACTCATACCTTAACTTAAGATGATCCAAAAAAAGGAAGGAAAGCAAATGCTTTCATTTACTTAAAGTTATCTGGCAGAGAATTCGACACTTTAACGATGGTCTGGGCCTGGCTGGGGCGATGGCACGCACACATGGCCTACAATATGATGGTGGTTTCATTTCGTTTCAGTGCAAAAATCATATGAATTCATGAGGATCCATTTAGATCCGACTTTTACCCACCCCAAGTGAACTCATCTCTGTCGCCTAGAGAGCACTTCGAATTTTGGAATATCTCCAGGCCCCAACTGGAGGTTGGCAACCGAATCAGACCCGTAGGCGGCAGCCGCCGGGCCCCCCCCCCCGTCCCTCTGCACCGAATCAGACCCGCCGCACCCCCTGTGTTCAATAGTCAAACTTTTGTCTCCTCCTCCTCCTCAAGCCACCCCCCCTCTCCCTGTCGTCACTTCCGGTCCAAACCCGAGTTGTCGGGCCTTCCGCAGCTATTTCCCTCCCCGCAAAGTGTACGGAGCTATAGAGATGGGGATGCCTATGGCCGTTGTCTTGGCCGCGCCCCCTCCGGTTACCATGGCTACGCGAGAGGCGTCCGTTCCCGGCGGCAGGGAGGGAAGCGCGGAGGGGCCATGGTGCGCAGTGAGTGGCTCCGTTTTCCCTCTTGGCGCGGCGCGAAGCGTCTTTCCTCGCCCTCTCTCCTTCCCGGCCAGGCAAGGATCCGGGAGGGAGCCCCCACCTCCAACGGGCGGCGGCCGCCAGCAGCGGCTGGACGAGGCTCAACGCTCTGGGCCGGATGCGGGAATGAGGGTGGAGCGCTCCTCTTTTCTGCCCTCAAACTCCTTGAAATTACGGAGAGTTTGAGGCGCTAGAGAATGTGCAGAGTGCATTCTTAAAGCCAGCGAGCCGAGAGCATGTGCAGAGTGCGTTCCCAAAACCAGCCCAGTGCATGTGTAACACGTATTCTCAAAACCGGGGAGCAGAGAGTATGTGCAGAGTGCATTCCCAAAGCCAGACTAGAGAATGTGCAGAGTGCATTCACAAAACCAGGGAGCAGAAAGCATGTGCAGAGTTCATTCCCAAAGACAGCCCTGAGCACAGGCAGAGTGCATTCCCAAAGCCAGGGAGACCAGATCATGTGTAGAGTGTATTTTCCATATTTGTGAGCATAAACTTTTTTTTTTGCGGAGGCCATGTTTACATTCCTTGTTTTTCATTTTTATTTACATGTGTAGCTATTTCCCCCCCTCATCGGAGGAGAAGGGGTTTTGAGGGGGGAAGCTGAATAAACCAAACACACATGTCGCTGGAGAGTGCTTTTGTAATCCACAGATGCAGTTTTGACATTTCCAAATGCCTTTGCTTTCCAAATGCAAGAAGACCCATAATTTATGTAGCATCGTTTAAACCTTCAAAGAAACGTCAGCTGTCCAAACTGTTTGGATGCTTATTAAGACTGGAACAGGTTGCCATCTGTGGGTTTAATATATGTATTTGGCACAAGCGACGATGCCTGTTACAAGGGGCGGATTGTGGAGCTGCTTCAGCTTTTGGCAATGAGGCTTTGTAGTTAATGCAGATGGGTCCAGTAGGCGCTAGGAGAGTCTATCCGGCAGGCAGGCAAGGTTCAGACATAACAGCCAACCATATGGTCTTGTGAACTACCCTGAAGGATCGGTGTGCTCCCTTCTGTTGCTCATGGCTTAGTAACTGAAAGCTTTTTAGGATTCGCAGCTTGTTTATGCACGTGAATGACAAACTATGATCTGCATTTCCCCCAATATTCTCAAATACTTTCAGGCGTGGATCTGTTTTAGCCCTTATATTTTTATTTCGTTATTTTTTATTTATGTTCTGTATGCTCCACCTATCTTACAGGGTCTCAAGGTGGATTACACGTAATGAGTCAGTACAATCAACAAAATGGGGCATGCAGTAACCAATGCATTAGGATTTTAGAAGCCTGGAATCACTGGAAAGAACAAAGCATAGCATAAGTGTTAACTTTGACAAGCCTTTATTGGCATATGTATATGCATACAATAGGAGATGAGGTTAAATATAGATCAAAAACTACAAATCAATATAGGATATAATTGGAGCTACGGTGCAGGAAAACAGCATAAAAACAGAAAAACCTAGTGGTTACTTATCAGAATGTATAGCCAGCATAAGTGTTAATGTGACACATTAAGCAGTACAGACACTACACAGTAGGATCCTACTTAAAATAAGCTGTACATAGCGATATAGACAGCTGACTCAATCATTTATCCAAATAAGTTTGTGAACCATATTGTACAGTGGAACCCTATTACCGTTAAGTAAAGGTAAAGATTTCCCTTGCTCGAAAGCTAGTTGAATTCGACTCTAGGGGGCGGTGCTCATCTCCATTTCCAAGCTGAAGAGCCAGCGCTGTCTGAAGACGTTTCCATAGTCACGTGGCCAGCATGACTAAATGCCGAGGCTCCTGGAACGCTGCTACCTTCCCACCAAAGCGGTACCTATTTATCTACTTGCAATTTCTTGCTTTCAAACTGCTAGGTTTCCAGGAGCTGGGGCCAGAAACGGGAGCTCACTCTGTCACGCGACACTCGGGTCTCAAACTGCCGAGCTACTGACCTTCCGGTCTGCAGCTAAGCGTCTTAACTTCTGAGCCACCATGGCCCACCTATTACCATTACATGCTACCCACAAGCCCTGTTCAGCCCATAGGCCAATTCCTTGTCAGTGGCCACCCGGTGTTTTTGGAAAGTGGGTGGGATCAGGTGGGGCTTTCGCCCAGCAAGACATCTGATTGGTCATTGAATATCTGATTGCCTGAGCAGCAGCTGTCAGCACTGAGGTTCTTTACTGTATGACTGAAAGTAACAAGTGTTTGTACAAGAAATACTTTCAAACAAATACGTCAGCAATACTTTTTAAGGGCATCCCATTAAACAGAGCTTCTGCATGAAATGTTGACAGGTTATTGTCAGAGTTATGTATGACTTTGCTCCCTGATATTTTGGGTTTGTCACCACCTCCAGCAGCAGCCAGTTTGGTGTAGTGGTTAAGTGCGCGGACTCTAATCCGGGAGAACCGGGTTTGATTCTCCACTCCTCCACTTGCAGCTGCTGGATGACTTTGGGCAAGCTATAGTTCTGTAAAAGCTGTTCTCTCAAGGACAGTTCTGTAAATAAATAATAAATAAGTAGCTCACACCAGCACGGGGCTAGAACTGACAGCAGCTCTGTTCAGCTCAGATGTATTAACCAGAGGATAAATCCCCTGTGTCACCACAAAGAGCTCTCTCAGCCCACCAACCTTACAGGGTGTCTGTTGTGAGGAGGGGAAGAGAAAGGAGTTTGTAAGCTGCTCTAAGACTCCGAGTGAAGGGTGGGGTATTCAATCTCTTCTTCTTCTTCAGCCATTTTGTGTCTGCGCCCATCACCCCGTGTCAGAATGTTAAAGGTTCCCACAGGCTTAAAAAGTTGAGGACCCCTGATATATTCTGTGTTTTACTGGGGAAATAAATGCAACCTGAATTTCTGAAAGGAATGGCACTGATCCGTTGTGAAATTTTTCAGTCACAGAACAACTTATCAGACAGCGGGCGGAGCATAACAACTGCGAAATCTTTTCCTTGGAAGAAATTTCCCAACACCAACAGGATCTGGAGAAACTAGAACATCTCGACAAATGGTGCCGGGACTTAAAAATTCTCTATCTGCAGAACAACTTGATTCCTAAAATTGGTAGGTGTGTTTGTTCACGAACTTTTATTTACAGGTACCCAAGGAGCGGAAATGACCTAAAACTATGTAGGGAGCAGTGTTCCCTCTAAGCTGAGTTAGTGTGAGCTAGCTCACAGTTTTTTAGCCTCTGGCTCACACATTTTTGTCTTAGCTCAGGAAGGATGGCTCCAGAACCAACTAATCTATGCAACAGTAAAATTGCTCGCTCACAACTTTAATGCCCGGAGCTCACAAAGTAGAACTTTTGCTCACAAGACTCCACGGCTTAGAGGGAGCATTGGTAGGGAGGTTGAAATAGAGTAGGTGTCAGGCCCAAAGCTCAGTTTTACCTATTGCTAGATCGAGATGGGTAGCTGTGATAGTCTGTCTGTAGCAGCAGAAAAGAGCAAGTATCTAGTAGCAGCTTAAAGACCAACAAAATTTCTGACGGTATGAAGTTTCGTGAGTTACTGCTCACTTCTTCACATACAGCTAGAATATGAGTCCATCTTTCCCTCTATCTTGGAGAGTGAAGTGATTTCAGATGCTGAATGACAGTAGCAGGTGAATGACAGTAGCAGATGAATGACAACAGCAGGTGTGATTGGATTAGGTGTGATATGCAGAGGGCTAGTAGGTGTGGAGAAATCAGAATTGGTAAGGGGACAGGAAACCTAGGCCTCTATTCAGTCCAGAAGGATGCATTGTCTTGAGCTTCATTATCAGTTGCAATTCAGCAGTCTGTCTTTCTAATCTCCTTTTGAAATTCCTTTGTAAGCTCATACCCGGTCACAAATTTTTGTTAGTCTTTACATTCTGGTTTTCGAGCAAAGGAAACCTTTACTTTTTACCTTACATTGCTACTGGACTCTTGTGCTTTTATCTATTCGATTTTCAACCCAAGTATCTATGTAAGAATTCTCTACTTTGTTCTGTGAATGGTGAGTTTATGCTCTGTGAATGCTCAGGGGTCAAGCTCAAGCTGCCATCTTGAGCAGCCTGGCTAACAATGGAGTGCTTTCTAACAAGTGAGATTTCAAGACTTTCCCCCCTACCTCCCCGTTGGCTGAATTAAGGAGGATATGCTGAAGTTGAAATAGAGTCTGACTACTATAATGGACAACTGATGGCAGCAGAGTGTAACCCTATGTGTGAACATAAGAGCCCTGCTGGATCAGGCCAGTGGTCCATCCCGTCCAACATTCTGCCTCACACTGCCTCAGTTCCTCTGGAGGGCCAACAACAGGGCATAGGGCAGAGGCCTTCATAAGAACATCAGAAGATCCCTGCTGGATCAGGCCAGTGGTCCATCTAGTCCAGCATCCTGTCTCACACAGTGGCCAACCAGATCCTCTGGAGGGCAAACAACAGTGCATAGGGCCAAGGCCTTCATAAGAACATAAGCCCTGCTGGATCAGACCAGTGGTCCATCTAGTCCAGCATCCTGTCTCACACAGGGGCCAGCCAGTTCCTCTGGAGGGCCAACAACAGGGCACAGAGGCCAAGGCCTTCATAAGAACATAAGAACAGCCCTGCTGGATCAGGCCAGTGGTCCATCTAGTCCAGCATCCTGTCTCACACAGTGGCCAGCCAGTTCCTCTGGATGGCCAACAACAGGGCATAGAGGCCAAGGCCTTCTCCTGATGTTGCCTCCTGGCTCTGGGATTCAGAGGCTGTCTGCCTATGAACGTGGAGGTTC